TTAAAACGTTCACCAGTATGCTCTTCGTTCGACGGACTGTGCCTGTTCAAAACAAGATCCAAGCTTCGACACAAAGACATATTGTTCCATGGCAGTTCCAAAAGCAGGATGAACGTGTGGCCACCATTGTTTAAAAAAAGAACTGGCAAACCATTCTTCGACAAGATCTTTTCTTTAAACTGTCGTCGTGCTTCTTTCTTGTCTGGCTTGCATGCTATCGATGGGACTTTTCCAGCGAATTGGTCGAATGCCTCTTGGAAAGAAATGCAGTTAAAGGCAACTAATTCGTCAAGCAGACTGTAAAGTGCAATCAACCTTTCTCGGCTACACTCATAACTTTGTTCGATTGCCTCCTTGAGCTCAGCGTGTCTTTCATCTGCCGTTTTGTTGCATAATGAAACACTAACATTTTTTAAACCAAAAGTACAATTGAAATCTACGTATGGTCTCTTCCCGCGTGAACTTTTTTCCAAGCTGTCCGCCATTTTATTTTTGAATACATGTGATTAAATTTGTGAGCGGTTGTGATCAGCATCCAGGCCTCAGCGGCCCTGTAACAAGCCCTACTTGTTTGCAACAAGGCCTTGCAAAGATGGCAGAGATGACAGACAAAATTGAAGAAGAAAGCACGTTTTATAAATGGTTAAAAAGTGCTTCTTTGGATAAACACTACAGACATTTATCTGAAAACGGGATTACCGAAATTTGTCATTTAGAAGATGTCAAGGAAGATGATGCTGAGTCGTTCGGGCTGACCAAGTTCGAGTACAGGAGACTAGCTCGCTTATACGCCGACTTCAAAGCACAGTCCGAGCAGTGTTCCCATGGAAAATCGGCCACAAGTAAAGCTGCGTTCAAGACCTCAAGTTCGTCGATTGTTTTGACCTTGCCGAATCATGAAAGATTTCGTTCAAACACGCGACGGGCAAGGACACGTGGTTGTGCGAACGGAATCATTAAAGCGCCAGTTTGAGAATTTGTACTACGAGTCCCCAGTGACCCGCACACAAGTGTTTTCGAATTCTTTCATTCTCCAAATGGCAGGCGAGAGAATGAAATATTGGAGTTAATTGCGCGATTGTGAACTCTGGTGCAGAAAAGAACGATCCAAGCGCACCAACTTATTGTTGGGAACGGCAAAAAGTCCCACGATCGACAGTTGGACACCCTATTACCAGAACCAAAGTCCATACGGTATCCTGAAAATCGCCAGATCACGGTATCCAGACATAGCGGCCTCAGAAGATAATGGGGTGCAACCAGGAAAAAGTCATTATGCACCCCTTAGCAAGTTTTTTGAAAGATGCCAAGATGCCCTGGCGCTGGCAAATAAAAATGAGGCGATTTGTCAACAAGAAATTCAAAAGACCTTAAAAGGGACAACAATTAGAGAACGTATTTCTTCTATTTAAGCTCATATTTAGTAATAATTTAATGTATGCATCAAATCATAGCTCAATCAGTAGATCGTTTTTAAGTGACGTCATGGCGGCCATGTTGGTATACAAGAACAATAGATTTTCTCTCCGTTGGGAACTTATCTCTATTGTACGCAAATTCTGCACAAACATTTTGTACTGTTTTGTACACTAACATGGCCACCTTGTCACATGAGTGAAAACCATCTATTAATCAAAGAATTTATTAAACGTGTCGGTGGTATCTAGCCGAGGGTAGAACCCTCTACTAATTGGGGACACGAAAACGAATAAATTACAGCTACTAGAGTATATTATTGGTTTAACCACTTTTGTACAATCTTTTTATAGGTCTCCAAGAGCAAAACAAATTTTACAAGGAATTAATGGTCCAAGTTGATCAAAGACGTTTTAAACACCTATGAGGTTTTAGTGGAGCAGTGCAGGAAGAGATTTGATAGTAGTGTTGCTGAGCAACAGTGCAAAAGGAAAAAGAAAAGGAAAGCACAGAAGGAACTAAAAAGGAAAGCAAAAAAGGGCAAAGAACAAGTACATGCACCAACTTGCAGTGAGAAAGAACCAAACAAGCAGGAAGAAGAGAGATCAGTCATAGATGAGTGGTCTACTAAGGAAGAAATTGAAGACTAATACAATACAATATACCGTAGCACTCATTATTTTGGCTTTATAGTATTTATTGGGTGATAAGTAGTTATTCTGGATAATTAAATGTTTTTATGATATTTATTATAATGCAATATACACTGTATGTTGCAGATAGTCTGGTTGCCAATGAAACCCATACTTTGTGGTTCTTAATTGTTGTTAAAAGTACCAGTGGCAGTGTTGCTGTTTATGTTGTTGACTAGTTAATGTTGGTAACAGTTAAAGTTTCAACACTACTACTACATGTAAATGCACTTTTTCATTTTATTATAGAATCATTATCCAAGGCGATAAGACCCATACCCTAATTTTATTGTGGGCACAAATAATTTTATAGAATATTTACAAAGATACCAAATTCTAATATTTATTTTATTATAAATTTTTTACGTCGAAAAGTTTAATATTGAAACTGTTTATGGATAATTAAATGTATTTATGATGTTTATTATAATACAGGATACACTGTATGTTGCAGGTAGACTGAATGCCAATGAAAACCATACTTTGTGGTTCTTAATTTTGGTAAAACTACCGGTGGCAGTGTTGCTGTTTATGTCGTTGACAGTTAAAGTTTTAACACTTACTACTACGTGTGAATGCACTTTTTCATTGTATTATAGAATTCTTATTCAAGGCGGTAAGACCCATCCTCCAATTTTTATTGTGGGCACAAATAATTTTACAGA